AGCGGCAGGATTTCATTTCCCTCTCCCAACCCTCTCTTATGTGACTGTGCAAGAGGCAGAAAATACTTATTCTGAAGGACCAGAAAAACTTGAACTAGCCCGTCATGCCAGACTGACACTGGGATGTCTTTGTACCCAGATCAGGGATAATTTGCTGGTGAAGGGGAAGAATATCCCACCAAACCCCTTTCTAGCTGTGAAACCCCATTGTACAGGTCCAAGAGCTATTATTGTGGGTGGCCACATGCACTGGGCAGCCCAGACCCCCCCCGTGTGGGCAGCAGGGCAGTGAGGGGACCCTGCCTCTCTGCTCCCCTCTCAGGGGCTGCCTGCAGCTCTGGGGGCTCACACGTGTGAGAAACGACCGCTCACTTTTTAACATTTTAAAGGTTTATTAAACCTGTGATAGATGAGTAATGTGATGATTGAATCTCACAATTAACAGACAAATATCATGTACATATGTTAAGAAAAGTTTTACAGACTTATAATTGTGTTTTACCTTCTCACGTGGTTATCAAGACACAGCCGGGGTGGGACATCTGGAGGGCTGGCTTGTCACTATGGTGACATCTGACCTTCAGGCAGGATTTGGGGAAGAGACCTCCACCACTGGACAGTGAAAAAGGGGTCAATGGACAGAACTTTGGGAGGGGTTAAAGGGTTAAAAAGGGGAAACCATTGTGTGGGGAAGAGAGCAAATGGTGGGGAAAATCTTTTGCTCCTGGCGCCGTAACCTTTTTTCTCTATTCAGTCTTCTGTTGTATTTTTTATAAGATTTAATACACCTTCCTAAACTATGAAAAGTGAGCAGCTATTTCTCACAGACCTTAACAAAAAACACAACAAAAGGACTAAATAAGGTTACCATTACCCCACCCCCATTACTGCCAGCCACTTGGCTCATCTTCAAAATGGATGCTCTTATACCTCCAGCCTCTCCTAAAGTCCTGTCAGTCGACTCCTTCCTTGCTGTCCAGTGGTGGAGATCACTTTCTTACACCTTGGTTGGAAGTCAGGTGCTGCCATAGTAACACGCCAACCTTCCCAAATGCCCCAACTACCAAGGCCATCCCGTGACAACAATACGGCAGGAGGACATATTATAGTAACATCACTCTACATCCATAAAACTTCTCTTAACACATATATAATGTTCACCCTTTACCTGGGAGAGCCAACCATCTCATTACTCATCCATAACAAATGGGAGAAAGACATGGAGCTGTTGGAGCAAGTCCAGAGGAGGCCACGAGCTGAGCTGGGAGAGCTGGGGGTGCTCAGCCTGGAGAAGAGAAGGCTCTGGAGGGACCACATTGCAGCCTTTTAGTGCTTGAGGGGGGTCTGTAGGGAAGATGGGGTCAGACTTGTTAGCTGGGCCTGTTGTGGCAGGAGAAGGGTTGTGGTTGTAAACTGAAAGATGTAGATCTAAACTGGATGTAAAAAAGATCTTTGCTTTTTATGCTGAGGGTGGGACTGTGTGGCTTTTAAGGTCCCTTGCAACCCAAATCATTTTAAGAGCAAGGAAATGCACTGTGGGACTGGTGTGTGCATTCCTGTTCTTTGTGCTGTCCCAGGAGCTGCTGATGCCTTTGAAAAATACCCATTGGAATCTGGACACCGGCAAAATGAAAGCTGAAACAGTGGAGGTTGTACAAAGAGAGGAGAGAATTGTTCGTGGAGTGACAAGATTCAGTTCTGCCCGTGTGTGTGTGTGTGCCCACCTGTGATGTCCCCAGTGGTGTTCTTATGACTACATTGTGACCTGCCAACTGTGCCTCTGTAAGGCTGGGGACTGCACTCATTGCCTTGGGCCAGAGCTTGCCAAAAGTGACTGGTGACTTTCTCATCCCCACACTTAGAAAAGCACATGGTGCTTCAAGTGGTTTGCAGATGGCGCAGGAAGCAATTATTTCTTTCCAACTATTAAATGTACTACAAAAATGTAAGATTATATTTCTGGTTGGCAAGGAATAGCTGCTTGCTGTGCATTCTTGGTTTTGGAAATGAGGTGCCTGTGGCAAATCTTCCACAGGTATTACAGGGGTAACTGGGATTTTGGAGTGCAGTAACCACAGAGGGCCATCTCACATGTTTCCTGCTGGGTTCTGGAGATCGTGGACTATGTGAGGAGCACTGTCCAGAAGAGAAGCAAGGTTGGAGCTCAGGAATAGACAGGAAAAAAAAATAGCTCCTGCGTTTGCTAAGGGAATACGTTGTTAATTATTTTCTTTTCCAGGCCTGAGTATGCAACTCAGAGGCATGTCTTGGAGTTAAATAGATCATTCAGTATGGACAAGTGTTGAACTGGTCTGTTTAACATGTTTATAGAGTCACTTCTGGCCATAGAATGATCTAATTCATCTTAAAATGCTCTGTTGAAATGTATTATGGTTTAATGGTTTTTTTTGCATTGGCCTTGAGTACCACTTAATGTCTGCACCCACCCAGGGAGTGAGCTGGAGGCTGCAGTACCTCACAAGGGGTGTGTCCCACCATGCTCTGAGAGGCATCTTCGCTGTAGCACTGGGATGGATGTCATTTGTGCCCTGTGAAACAGAGCTCCCACAGAGTCACAGCTGGGCACGTCACAAGTTCTTCCTCAGCCCCTCGGTTTGGTTATACAAATCTCCTTCTGCTGCTCCAGTAATTCTTTCCATCATGGGTTTAACGCTGTCCTCATCTCAAAGGAACCTCGTTCAGTCTTTCACCACCCTCAGCCAAAGCAGTATCACAGACACTGCAGACTCTTCTAGAGAACTTGGAAAAAGTCATTTTACCTTCTATCACATCTTCCCTTCTCTCAGTAATTCCTGAAGGCTTTGGTTGGTTTCCTTTGGCGGTCTTCCAGAGAATTTGAGTTATTAGCTTGGAAAACTATGACATGTTTAGAGATAGTTTGGTATAGCCATTAAGGTGTTAATTCTACCACTTGTTTTATCCATCGGGATAAACTTGGATTTTATGGGCCTTGCGTGTGACGTTAAGCAATCAAGTCAGGAAAATACAATATATGTTTTAAATTTACACAAGGCAGGTGATATGTGGAAAAGCTAACAGTGATTTATTTGTGTTTCATCCTACTAGCCTACAATTGGGGTAAAATTTCTATTAGTCTCTAGGAGGACAATGACTCTGTCACAGAGCATTCCTGAGACTATTTCTATCCCTGGATTCCAGTAAGTTTTCAGTGGAGACAATTTGGTGGGTGACAGGTAAAAGTTACACACTCCATCTTTGTCATGTGCATGTTTCATCATCTGTGTGCTGATGGCATTTCAGATGGGACTCCGGGGGGACTCCTGCATTGACAAACATCCCCTCAGTATAAATAACTGCTCAAACTAAATACAGTGAAGCAAATTTTTGGTGTACATATTTTGCTGATTTGTGCATCCTGTGTCAATACCTCATAGAATGAGATCTTTACCCAGAAAAGTCAAGTCACTAAGGCTAATAACAATTTCAGACTATTTGATTATATGTATTCTCTGGTGTGACAGATGAACAGCAAAGAAAGCAAAAGCCTCTTTCTAATCAATTCCAGTTACAAAGAAGGCTTATTAATAAATCAAATTGAAAAATGCATTACAGATAGATGCTATATGAAAAACTATGTCCATATCTGTTGAAAGACAAATCCCCTTACTGTCATTGACAGCTTTTTTTCCTTTTCCTTCGTTGCCTACATGCGCCATCCTGTCCTTGTTTGGGTCAGCTGCCATGTCTGGAGGTCCTTGGGTGGGTCTTGGCACTTTAATTTCCTTGTCTGAGAGCCCCAAGTTGTGCTACATCTCCATCATGATGTGGATGGTGGGGCAGAGGGACCCCTCAGAGGTGTCTGGGCACACAGCCCTGATGTGCCAAAGAGATGTGCTGCTGTCCAGAGGGACCGAGCCAGGCTGGACAGCTCAGCAAGAGGAGCACAAAGTCCTGTTCCTGGGGAGGAACAAGCCCAGGACACTCTGGGAGACACCCAGCAGGGAACCAGGAAAGGCCCTGGGGCACCTGGGGAGCACCAAACTGACCAAGAGTCACCAGAAGGTGAACTGTGCCCTGGACTGTGTTGGGAGCATTGTCATTACAGGTCAAGGGGGGGATCCCTCCTTGCTCCTCACTGTGGAGCTCATCTCTGGACTGCTGTGTCCCGTTTGGGCTCCCCAGTGCGAGAGAGAAAGGGACATACTGCAGAGTCAAACATTAGGAAACATTTCTTTTCCTGGTTTTAATGGTGACTGAGCACCAGGACAGGTTGCCCAGGGAGGGGGTGGAGTTGCCCTCCTTGGAGATGTTCAAAAGCTGCCTGGATGTGGTCCTGGGCAATTGGATGGCTGCCAGAGGTCTCTGCTGACCTCAACCATCCTGAGGTTCTGCAAAGCTGGAGTGGGAGCTGCAGTTGAGAGCAGCTGTTTGTTGGATTTCTGGCTCTCCTTCCTTCCCCTCCCTTCCCTCTGCTCCCACTCCCCTTGACCATGGTAAAATCTAATGAAAGGAAACAAATGGTCTTCCTGTTATGAAAGGAAACAAATGGTCTTGTTTCCACATAAGAAGTGATGTGATTATTGGTATGTTTTTAGTATCAATCTGATGCCTTGAGAGGCTACCTGGAACAGAGGCTAGGCAATGTTAAAGGAATAAAGTAGGGATTTATTAAAAGACCTTCAAAGGATGCATCTTGCACAAGAGCCTGGCCAAGGTTACACCCAAGATGGACACTGGTCACAAGTTTTCACACTTTTATAAGTTTTGGTCCATTTCCATATTGGGGTTAATTGTTCAATTCCAGCTCCAGGTTCTCCAGTCCCATCCTCCCAGACTGCTCTCCTCAATTTGCTGCTGTTTGCACTTTTTGGGCCTTTTGGGCCTTTTTGTTGTTTGCACATTTTGGGCCTGAAGCTGCAGTGGTGTCCTTGGTTCTGGGGCTGGAAAAGGATTGTTTTATCTGACTGAGCTGTGAGGAGAACTGCTGACACTTTATATGAAGTTCAGAGTTATATACCAATGCAGTTCAGAATCTGAAAAATATTAAAGCTAAAACTTAAGGCATCAAATCAACAACAGTTTGTTATGGTTATGAAAATTTTGAAAAATTTTGATGGAACATAAATCTTTGTCTAGTAAAAGAAGGAGCCACATTGTGAAATCCATTATGATGTATTGTTCTTCCTTGTAATCTCCTTTTTCATAATAACTGAGTGGCTTAAGAATTCCAGAGCCAAGAAATCTGGCTAAAAGACATACTTACGTATATTTACAGGAATTTAAGCTTGCATCAGACATGCCAATTGATGTGCCTTATAAAAGATAAGGAACACAATGACATTCTGACATCATTAGGCTCTTTCTTAGATTAATCCAACAGCTATATATATATATATGTAGTATGAACAAAAATTTCTGTCAATATCTGACCTTAGTTTTGAGTTCTGGGCTTTAGACTGATTATTAGAATTTAAAAAAACCCTCCTACCCTCCTTTATACGGCTTAAGCCCCTTTGGAGTGTCATCTGTATCATCTTTTCCTGCCTAGAAGATTTTTGTAGCCCTCACCTGTGTTTAGAAATAAATCAGTAAACAACTGTCTTCTCAATTAGACCTGCACAGGGGATTAGAAAATTCCTGATTGGGATTATAAATTTATGGCCAGAAAAATCTGGTTGTGAAAGCCGAAGAGCACTGAAAGGGACCTTGGTGTAGGCAGGTGGAAAGAGCACAGGAGATGTGGGTTAGCCCTGGAGTGCTCCTGTGGTAACTAAGAGTAGCAGTTGGACAAAGGAAAAAACACTAAAAACAAGGAAGTAGGAGAGAAGAAAAAAGAGTGTAAGGGAGCAGGGGAGAAACACAGTAGGTACAGAACAGAGGAGGTAAAAAACAAGAGCTGGAGTCTGGCAAATAAAAAGTCTTCAGTGTCAGGGACATTTTCTGGGTCTGCTCCCTCCTTGCTCTCCTGGGAGTTTAACCAAGAAGGGTTTTCCTTCTGTGCCATCTTGGATACCTCAAATTTAAGACAAAGAGCTTTAAGAACAAAAGAAAGAAATCTTCTGTTGCCTTGAGCTTCAGCCATCTCTTTCTGAGCCTTAAGTCTTGATACAGCATGTGGTGTATTATTTTCCCCTGGTTGCTGCAGCACTTGGATGTTCCTGCCTGAATTCAACCTTGGAGATGGTTCTGGGAGTTCCTGCAGCAAGAAAGGGCAAAGAATTGATTCCTTGGAACAGATTGCTTCAAGATGTACATGTGGGACATACATTCATCTTTTGCTGATCTTTCCTTTCTTCCTCGAAGTCCCAGCTATGTCTTCCTGCTTTTGGGCTCTGTACATGCAGTGTCCTTGGCAGCAGGATGAGAAAGGCTGAAGAGTTGATTCCTACAGATATGTCTGGAGAAAAAAGCATCTGTTTTTTATATTCCAAGGCACAGATACATTTAGGTTTATAGTATATATGTATGTCATACCCCTGGGAGGTACCCTGGTGGCAGAATGACCAAAACCCCTGAAGGTGAATGCTTAACTGAGAATGACTAAAAAAATGTCCTTATAGCTTTGGGTCCATCTTTGCAGGTGGAATAACCTACACAAATTCTTTTCCTGATTTTTGTTGAATATGTGAAAATGGAGTTAAACCTAAACCCTGCATTTTCAGCCTGATACTTCGGCTGTGCTGAAAGCTGGTGATGTCCCTGTGGGCAAACCAAGCTCTATTCCCTCACTGGCCTAACCAGTCCTGTGTTAGTGGCCATTTGGATGCCATGGGGGCAGGTTTTATGGTGCTGGTTAGATAATTCTGCAGTCTGGCATTAATACGATCCTTCAAATAAAAGCTCAAACCCACAGGAATCCAGAATTCATTATAAAACACAGCTCTTTTGCTAAAAATGCCTAATCAGTGCCAATCTCCCTGTCTGCTTCCTGAAATAACATCCAGCTTGTGGTAACATTAACCCCATAAAAACAACTGTCCATTAAATTTTAAGAGGGGTAAATTCAAGCTTCAGAGCTCTCTATTTTGATTACTAGAGACATGGGGCAATTTGAAATATGCACTTGAGAAGCTAATGAAAGACAGAAGGTTTGCTGTGTTTCTGACTTGGCTTAACACTTGGGGTTTAACATCAGGCACTGGCAGATCGTCTGGAAGATTCGGCATTTGCACAAAGCACAGTAGTGACAGCAGGAATTCAAGTGTGGCTTGCAGGTTTTGAAGGTTGGCACACAGTTAGCAGCAGGTGGGGGCCTTGGCTTTGGAGATACCTTGCGTTTAGCATTTTTCTGGAAGATAAAAACATGAGAATTCATAGACAGGTGAAATGAGGGTGGTGAACAGCGGGAGGTTCTAGGGGAATGAGCAGCTGACTGTGGCAGTGGGAGCTGTGCTAGCAATGCAGAGGCATGGTGGGGCTGGGAAATGGGAAAGGGTGGCTTGAGAGCAACATTCTGAGCAAAATGACAAACCTCATTTTGACCTTGATGACCATGGATGGAGCTTTGGAAAGGGTCTCTAGGAAGAAGAGGGGCAGCAGTGAAGAAAGGGGTGCCAAAATGTACACAAGATGGTGAAGTTATCAATAAAACCAATTAAGGTGTTTTGTTTGGATCTCCCAGCTTTCCAGATGAGTGAAAACTCCCTATCAGTCTCGTTTGCTGAGCTGTGACACTGAGAGAGCAGGGCAGTGACTCGGCAATGCTCCACCTCGTGACCCCAGAGATCCTCCATCCATGGGAATCCTCCCCTGCACACACAGTTCAGGGAGTGGGAAAAGGCCTCCCATCTCCCCCAGGAGTGCAGTTTCTCTGCTGGGGATGTGGAAAGGTGGAAAATTTTGGGTTGCTCAGCATGTGCCTGAGACCTGGGAGGGATCTCTGGAGCCCAGTGGCTGCAGGCACCCTGTGCACTTCTGAAACTCAGAGTTATGGAATTCTTTGGGTGGGAAGGAATTTTAATGCCCACCTCATGCCATCCCTTGCCACAGGCAGGAACACCTTCTGCTATCCCAGGCTGCTGCAAGCCCCGTCCCACCTGGCCCTGGACCAGGGATGGGGCAGCCACAGCTTCTAATTTTCTTTCCACTGTTATTGTTTCACATCTATTTTTACAACATTTAGAGCTTTAAACTGTATGCAAATTATTTAAATCAGGGAATGACAGTAAAAGCCTTTCAGATGAATGCACTGAGGGAAACTCTTGAAGTAACAAACTGTTCTAATCCAACAAAGTTTTTTGAACAACCACCTACCTTGGAAGATTTCTTGTTCTCTGCCTCTTTCCTGCTGACTTTCTGGGATTTTCTAGTTAAATCTTCAATGAGAATAGCACAGCAAAATACAGAATCAGTTTTACAGAATGTTATTTTGACAATATAATCCTATTTTTGTGTGAGAGGAGGCAGATAACCTGCATTTCTACCTCATTGCTGCATGTTTTGCAGTGATGTGCATCTCAATTCAGAGTGTCTGAACTCTCTCACTGCTGCTTGTGCGAAGCAGAGGAGCAACTGATATTTACATTTTAGGAGGGATTTTTTACACATTTTTTGGTAAAATGCAAACAATTAATTATTTCAAAGAAATAAAATTAAAGGTCTCTGTGGAAAAGATTGGGGTGCTCATGCACAGTAGTCACATAAACAAAAATAGGAAAAATCTTTAGAATTCCGTAATTTCTTCTGTTAAAAGGTGGTGCTACATGCATAATTTTGGAAGGAATTAACTAGTGTACACTGCTTTCCACAAGCAAAAACTCTGCTGATTTGGCATATACTCTGCATCTGTGATTCCACCCTTCATTCTGCAGTTCTTTGTTCCTTCTCCCCCCATGATCTCATTTTACATAATGTTACTTGCAAAGGTGTTTCATTCACATGCCTGTAACTTTGGTCCCTCTATATATTTGTCATGATATCTAATTTTAGATATTTATAATTGTGTAAATTCCATTACTTGTTTTGGGGCTTGTTTTGGGCTCTAACACAGCAAGACTGTTAAAATGTGAGACACTTCCCAGCTCACCAAGCTATTGTGGTATTTTGATACCTTTATTCTGAGTGTGTGAGTTTTGGAATAAGCACTACCTGTATGTAATGGATGATTGTGATAAAAAACATCCATATCCCCACTGGTGAATGGTAGCTCCTTATCTGTTTCAGGATCCACTATCAATGTATTTTTTAATATTTTCCAATTGCTAGGATTTACTGAGTTGCAGAATGAAGAACAAATATTTTGAGCTGGTTTGGGGGGTTTCATTTATTTTTCTTGTATAATTGTAAGTTAGGGTTATGCATCTCTAAGAAGCAGTGGGGAGAAATGTGTTACACTTAGCCTGTCTGCCATATCAAAAGCATGGGCTCACTTCTGTGACATGGAGAAATCAGCTGAAGGGATTGTATTTTATAGCCCTGATTTTAATAGGAAATAAAAAAGTTATGGGAATTGTGAGAGTGAAGGCATCAAGGATCACAAGTACCATGAAATGGTACAGCTTGGGAGGCTGCAGAACAGCACAAGCTCTGCTAAACTCTCAGTTAAACAACACTGAGTTAACTCAGGATTCAGAGGTTCAGATTTTTTTAGAAATGTATGTATGGGGCAAGTGTTTCTCCTTAAAGATCCGTTGTCCTGAGCACGAGCATGGAGAAAACACAGGAAACAAGGTAAGAACCAGAATGCTTTAAACTAAATCCCTAAAAATGTGCAGAAATGACCTAAACAAGATAAGGTTTATTTTTTTAATTATTAGCATTTTGACACAGTTATCAATGTTCTGTAGCTGATTATCTCCAAACACCCGTGAGTTTCTTGAGAGAAGAAGTTGGTGTAAATTACATGGAAAGAGTTAAGGCAGACACAAGGAAAGAATTTTGTGAAGAAAAGAGTTAAGCATCCCCCCACAGAGGCTCTTCCCAAACAGGACGGGTGGTCATCTGCCAGTAACTGCAGAGACAGAGTTGGTCCTGTCTTGGACAGATAAATTAATGATCCCTGGCTCTCCCATGCAGTGCTCTTTTCTTCCCCTGTTTAAATGTCAGGTAAACTGAGGTTATATTAATGCCTGTTAATACTGTTGATTTTTCTACCACAAGAGCAGACCCTTAAAACCCTCACATTACGTTATTTTTTTCTCATATGCATAAGATTTTGTAAGCAAGGTTATTTCCCATATTAGCACAAGACCACTTCTCTTCAATATAAAAAAGCTTATAGTGTGATGGGAGCTGAAGGGAAACCTGTAAAACTGAAATAAATTGTATTTTTTTCCCTCTAAACTGAGGTTTACGACATTGTCATTCTTGGGTGCTGCAGCCACCACAGTTCTGTGTCCTATGAAGCCAAGGAAAGTTATCCAAATAATTCAGAATAATCAAAAGCAGTGTTTCCTGCAAATGTTCTTAATTTGGCACCGAAGGGCAGGTTTTACTCACCTACTATGGAGATGGGTGGAAGATCTGAGAGGTCCATTTTGCTCCTCCTGGACACGTTGCATTCTGTCTTCTCCTCAATGACCAAGTGGGAGTCAGCAGCCCTGAACAGGCTGTAGCAGAGCAGGAGGCTGAGGAAGAGGTTCTTTCTTGCCATGGTGGAGAGGAAAAATTCCATTGTCATGAAAACCAAAGTTGGTCAAAACCTGCAGAAGTGATGCAGGGATATGAACCTCAGCAATGGTTTTCTGTCACGTTCAGCTTTAGCAACAAATCTCTGACAATTATTTTATTTCCAGCACCTTTCCTCTGGTACTGGAATACCTAAGAATTGTAGTTCTAAGAGTGGAAAAACTCTTTGTTGTATTTGCTCAAAAAAACCCTTAAAGTTGTATTTGCTATCTCAAATACAACTCCCCGAGATGTTATTTTTTCCTGATTCTTTTCTCAAAAGGTTTATTTCCCCTAAGATGTGAATGCCCTCCCAACTGAGCTTTATAATGGTTATTATATGGCCAAGGGCAGAAACTCAACCACATCATCAAATGTTTCCTAGGAAATCTTGGCTACAAAAATGTGCTATAAAACATTAAAGAATAATGACAATTTAAACTCCCCCCCCCCAATTGTGTTTCCTGTTAATTTTCTGGTCTTAAAAATAAATCATGAAGTAACATCTTGTTTTATTACACCTCCAAGTGGCTGCTCTAATCCCATATAAATCACAGCCATAACTCATGTGAGTTATAAAAGGCCACTGCTGTAAAGTGTTTATGTGCCTTGGGGTTATGCACTGAATAACTTCCAAGATGTGGCAAAGTCTGGGACTTGGGGATACTCGTGGAGGACCTGAGCTGTGGAGTGTGGCCATTCACCTGAGGTGACAGTCCCTGCAGGGTACACAGAGTATGTCACCAGCCTGGACTGCTTTTCTTGTACTTTCTTGTATTTCAAAGCTGATTTTTATTTCCATGTGCATCATTTTTCTGCAGTGTCAGAGTTATGGAAGCCTTGTTCCCCCAGAGGCACTGCCAGTCTCCAGATTTATGGTTAGCTTTGTGTCAGTGAAAAGTTGCTGGATGCAGAAAAAAGAGTGAGTGAAATGAAATGTTTTGGGCCGTTCATCTGGTTGTAATGACTTCATTACTGGGGAGTTAAAAGATGAAGAGTTTCTGCATTGGGAGGGCTTCAGTTGGTCACTGTTGCTACACCAAGTCTGTTCTACACCTGCTTCTGTAGCCCTACTGACCACTCCTCCCTGGGAGATGGTCAGTATTATGCTTCTAATTCCAAGTGCCTGGAATCAGTTCTGGAATTGTCTGTTCTGCACACTATGTTCCTGTGCCAAATCAGTGCTGGGAGCATCGAGGCTGCTTCCACTGGTGGCTGTAGCTGTGCCATGAGGATGCTCACCTCTGCTCTGGAGCCAGGCTGGGAGCTGGGGGGGTTCAGCCTGGAGAAGACAAGGCTCCAGGGAGACATGAGAACCCCTTCAGCCCTTATCAAAAAAGGGGAGAGCAACTTCTTATCCATCCAGAACGTGACAGGACAAGGCCAAAGGTTTTTAAACTAGAAGAGATTTAGATTGGAGACAGAAGTTCTTTACTCAGAGGGTGCTGAGACCCTGGCACAGGGTGCCCAGAGTAGCTGTGGCTCTCCCTGGATCTCTGAAGTGTCCAAGGCCAGCCTGGATGGGGCTTGGAGCAGCCTGGGATAGTGGAAGGTATCCTTGTCCATGTTGCAACTGGATGGGCTTTAAGATCTCTCCCAACCCAAACCATTCTGACAGTCCACAATTCACTCCTGGATCTGTCTGGGCTCCATTGGGATTTGCAGGGATGCACGTGCTGGATCCTTTGTGATTTATACATCTGCATGAGCTGTAACTGAAAGAGATCTGTCTGAGCCTGAAGTTTCACAGGGGAGGATTAACCTCTGGGAAGGCAGTGCTGCTGTGCCTGAAATGCTGCACAGCTGGAATCATTCAAAGCAGATGTGAAAGTTCAGACCCTGGCTGGAACAGTCACGGCTGTGGGTAGGAGTCTCCTTTGAATGAATTGATTCAAATTTTATCATATCAGATGTGAAGAGGCTTTGATTTGATTCTGAATCTGAGAGAAGAAAGTGCATCTTATTTAGAAGACTCTAAAAATTCCAGTAACCAAAAGGAACAAGTCTTGCCATAAGAATTTTTTTTGCCATAGTAAAACAATGGGCTTGAATTTCCAGTCGCTGCAGTTTAGGAAAGTAACAAGGTGACACTTCTGTGTTAATTCTTTACCTACTCTAATCTTGCAAACTCTTGTACAGAAGCTCAGCCCTCACCTGGGGCAATTGCCCATTTATAATGAGAGTATGTGAAAATATTTGCTAGGTCAGGATCCCACCCCCATGTTTTTCTTATCTTCAGAAGAGTTGCCCTTTTATTTTCTCTTCCCCATCTCCTTTTACAAAAGAAGTCCAGACCTTACTGAGATTTCTTGATGCTTCCTAAAAACTGCTCTAACACATACCTACGTGTCTAAATAGCCACTAGGTCATAACCATTCACAGCTCACAACTGGAGCTTCTTTTCATCTAACAGATGTTACCAGCCTGAGTATTCCTGGTGATGCTCATATTCTAGGCAGATGTTTACAATTCATACAAGAACTAAATAATGACTTGTGTGCCCAAAAGCTTGTCTATGTTTTCCAAATATACAGTTGGTCAAATATAATATATTGCCTAAAAATCTTGGCCTGCTATACATTAAAGTTTCCTGATTTTTCAGATTTATGCCTAAAGAAAATAAAGAATTTTTTTATGGTGAGTGTGATAAAACACTGGCAAAGGTTTTCTAGGAAGGTGGTCATGCCCAATACCAGAAAACATTTAAGGTCAGATTGGAGGGTCTTTGAGCAACCTGATTTAGATGATGTCCCTGCTCATGGCAGGGGAGTTGGACTGAATTACCTTTTAAGTTCACTTCCAACCCAATCTATTCCAAAATTCCATGACAGAGGGCTTGTCTGTGGCAGGTGGATGGAGACATTTGGGCTCTAATTATTTCCCTGCTCTGAGCTGGAATGACAAGAGCAAGCTGTGAGCTGGAAGCTGTTTTGCTTTGCACATAGTGGTGTTCATGCTGCAGATTTTAGTTTTTAAATCAACTTTTTAACCTCATTGCAGGATATGCTCTGTAAGATACCTGTGGTGTTCAGGTCACTGTGTGCTGCCCACCCGGAATTTTGGCTGGCACAAAGCTGCCTGATGGATATCATGTTGGCCTGCCCCCAGTTCCGCCCCAAAATGTTGTTTCTGTTGTATTTCCTTGTCTTTATCTCAGTAAAATTTCTAATGGATGTGATTTTGTCTGAGCAAACAGTAAAATTTTACATCTGACATCTGTTTACTTCAAACAGCAACACCTGAACCACGGCTGGGGTGGAAATGCAAACCTGGCTTGGTTTGAACCCTGGTGCACATGGGGGTTTTTAATCACAAGCACTTGGGTGGTAGGGATTGTACAGCCCTGGGGTGAGTGTTTGAACCTGGAAATTGCACATATTTGGGGAATATGCATTTGTTCTGCAAAATTCTGTCCATTGGCTGGAAAAGCAACGCTCCCTGGGGCAGCGGAGTCTGTGAGGGCTGAGCTCATGGAGGGATGAAGGAGGAGAAAAGTGGAATCAGAGCTGGAGTAAAAAGGTGTTCATGGCCCCAAACCCGCCAGAACTCGAGGAATGTTTGGACAATACTCTCAGGCACAGGGTGGGATTTTTGGGGTGTCTATGCAGGGCCAGAAGTTGGACTTGATGTTCCTTGTGGGTCCTTCCAACCTCAGGATATTCCATGATACTATGGCTAATCTTGGGTTCCCTCTTTTGCATCATATTGCAAAACCCTTCCTTAAGTTTGTTTTCTTTTTCTGACATTAAAGAGAGGTTTACTTTTCCATTTTGCCCATTATTTTCCTTCTGGGACTCATCAAAGGCTGATTAAAGCAATGAAACTATTTTCCTTACCTCTAGCTGTCTTCACATCTGTTTCTCTCTGAGCACTTACATTTAAAAGTTTATTTTCCTTTTGAGCCCCTAACAATTTAGAATAAGTAGCTTTAATAGTGAAATCTTGAGAGGAGAGTTCCAATTTCCCTAATGTTACTAAAATGAGCAAAGAGAACTTTAATTTTTGGTTCTGGAGACTTGGTCTTGCCCAGCGATGAAATTTAAGCAGTGAACTTTAGCTGCAGTTTAGCAAATTATGTAAGGAAATAGTTAACATGTTGCAGGGGCCTTGATTGTCACGGGAATGACAGAATTTTATTTAAAACCAAAACAAAGGCAGACATTTGAAAGTTTGTTGACTGTCATCAGAGATCACAGTACCCTTTTCTGTGCCATTGCCTCTCTGCTTTGGATTGTTATATTCAATATGTAAATAAAGTATTTTAATCTTTACCCCAATTGTTGTCTTTCACAAACGTGTTTCCTGAATTTAAATTTGGAAGATGGGAAACATTTTTCTCTTTTTAGTAATTTTTTTTTTGTAGTGTCATATTAAAAGTTTTCATAGAAATTTGGTTTGCTTGGAAACACCCATGTATATTAAACTTTTGAGGAGAACTCATTTCTTGTCACAGCTGATTTCACTCTGTTCAGAGATTCATCTTCATCCAGAATTGAGTGAAGAGTGTCAGACATTAAAGCAAAAAGTCTGCCATGAACACTGTAGAGGGACAAGTTTAAATTTTCTTAGACAGATTTTCTGACAACTTCAGGTTGATTCAAATTAATCAGCATCTTTATATAGAGCTGAAAACAGCTGCTTGGGAAAATGAGTTGGTAAAGTATGTGAACAAAGGCCTATAAAATACAGAAAACCATTTTACAGCACTCAGTGAATCTTCACTGGGCTGCTTTGAAAAGGATCCTGGAATCATCAAGGCTGGGAAAGAACTCCAAGATCACCAAGTCCAACCTTTGAACAAACCGTACCATGCCCACTAAACCATAGGAGAGGACAGGAAAAAAAGGGAATGCAAGAAAAAAACCAGGAATTAGTGGCTGCCTTGAGAAGTGTTGAGATTTTTAGATGGTGAGAGACTGAAAAATTTGGGAAATGAAACATGGAAGTTAATGGGGTGACTGAAGACCTCCTGAGGGAACTGCATGGTCACCTAGAACCATCCTATCCAGTCTGCAGAGCAATCCCACCTCAATCCTCAGGTTTCAGCAAAGGAATACCAGTAAAAAGGGAAATGGTGTGTTAAGGAGGACTTGGAGGGAAAGGAATGGATCGCCCTGAGACAAATGGGAATCACCAGTGTCCCCAGCAGAGCTCTCCTGACCCAGCCACAGGGCTTCCTCCGCCTTGGAAGTTTCCTAACAGCTTAGGATTGACTGCACAGAATATACACAGAAAAGATAGGTGCTTTTCTAGGGCTGTAAAGATGTGAAAACACATGAGGAAAACCAAAGAAATAGCTATTACTCCTCCTTAAACCACAAAATAATTTAAATTGAAATTTATGGAAATTGTACAATTGAAATTGTGCCACCACAGAACTCTGTTGGTGGCTCTGTTTGGATTCTGACCCGAATCTCGCTGAATTTCAGTTGTTTCACTCAGTGCTGGAGGACTGGACTGATAATCTCAGTGCCCCTTTTTGGTGTGGGCCTGCCATACACCCCTGAGAGAACAGTGACGGGGCCAGACCTTGCAGAGAGTTTTTGGGTTTTGGGTGGACACCTGAACTCCTCAATCCCCTCCCCATGTTCTCCCATGCCCCCCTGGACAGCTCTTTGCCATCCCCACCCAGCACATCTGCCTTTTTTCCTACACTATTAAAATAAGAGGAAAGTTGAGTGAGACCTTAATATGGAAATGTGACTCTGCAGATTGGAAATACACTCAACGCATGCTCGATTCCAGCTGGGTTAGGGTGGGGTCTGCCCTTCACGTGTTGAAGTGGATCCTAGGAAGCATGAGAAGGGAAATACCAGCATGTTCCTGTTCCCCTCTTGTGTTCTGGTCTTAGTTCTTAGACCATTTTCATGCTCTTCAAATCCAATTGCAAAACACAAATTCTTGAGCACGTCCAAAAGAACAAATTGAAAGGAATTTCTTATTTTGCAGGTACATGGATGCCCCATCCCTGGAAGTGTCCAAGGCCAGGATGGACGGGGCTTGGAGCAACCTGGTCTAGTGGGAGGTGACAGGGGTTGGCACTGGATCATCTCTAAGGTCCCTTCCAACCCAAATCATTCTGTGCTTCTATGATTTTATGATTCTACACCAGGAACTATGTTTTCCTCAGCATTTGGATCTATTAATGTTTTACTCAAGTTCCACTTGGCAGCTGTGCCACCGTTGATGCTGTTGGAGGAGGATCCAAGCAGGTTGTTTTATACAGCCTGCATCTCAGCCTGCAGACTCAGATGAAGGCTTTCTCTGGCATTGCTCATGAAGCCCAGTTTCGAAATGTTTTCTAATCTTTTCACCTTCAGTGACTTTGCCAGGAGAGGGGAAAGCTATTTCCCAGTAAGGGAGGTCTCTGTGTGCACATCCATCCCTTCCACTTGACCTTCAGTGCAGGTTCGTTTTTTTTTTTTTTTTTTAGGTTTTTCCCTTTGGGAGATACCCCATGTATCCCCATCTGCTACTGATCATAATGGAAACCCTTAAAATACTCCCAGTTTTCCTCTTTTCTGCAGCACAGAGAGATGCAGGATAATAAATACCACTACATTGCCTGGAGAGAAATGTCATGACCACTGCCAGCCCCAGTGCTTGCATGGACATATCTCTGCAGGGTTTGTGTTTCATTAGCTCAGGTCACTGGGGTTATAATTACCCCAGTTCTGCCAAATTCAGCTGTTCTGGAAGCCATGAGCAGTTCAGTGCTAATCCCACAGGGTTTTGACATTGAATCAGGAATTCGGGTTAACTTGTACACCTAACTACCATAATCATTGCACAAATGCATTTACACAAACTGCAAGAGATGTTCTGCTTGTTCTGAACACAATTCCTTATTTCTCAGTCAAAGATTATTGATTCCAATATCTGGTTTTTGTTATCCAAGAGCCAGGATAAATGTCACTATTGGATTATCCCATTTGTGTACTTATTTCTGGGCATCTTTCATTGTAACTTCTCTTTTCTGATTTGCTCATAAAAAATTGCCCGTGGTTGTGGAAAGCAGGTTCCAAGAGTGTTCCAGTCTCACACTTCATTCATTATTTCATGTCCTACCCTTTGCATTTTGGCTCATTTTTAAAAAATGTAAAGCACTCAGCTATGGTGCTTGGGTCTAAATATAAACTCCATGTGGTTAAAACTGATCCATGTGCTGTCTATGGAGACAGCCATGTCCGTAGCTGAAATTGAAATTTTTTCAGACTTCCAAACAAAATTAGGTCCAAGTCTGTTTTCTTTTAAGGGTAACAATTGAGGCTATTTTTAGTTTTCCTCTAATACATCTATATTTAAAGCTACCAACTAATATTCGCCTCCAACCCACATAATTTCCCTTAGGCTCCCCAGGAATGACCCTGGAGACAGAGCTGCAAGTGAAGCTTGGTTTTTACACACCTTGCAAGTCAGGGATTTCATCCATGTGCTCAGATGCTGCCAGACAGGGACATTCCTGCCTGTGCAAGACCCTCACTTGGAGCATAGTGGGATGGCAGGACACTAAACTCCACCCTGCAGTGGCTAGGTATCTGAAAGAACTCAGTTTCCCTTTTAATAAAATGGGTTAAAATTCTTATTCATCTGTATAAAATGGTGTCATCTTCACTTGTTTTTAAATAGAAGGAAAAAAAAATTACATTAATTTCTAGGATTGGGATTTCTATGGGATGCCAGTGAGTTACATCTAGATTTCTGCTCCTTTTCACCCTCAAATTGAAAAAAAAGCCTGTAACATACTATTGACCAAAGTAAAACTGACAAGTGGCATTGGAGGCCTTCTCTCAGCTCATTCTCCTTCCTTTGGTTCTTTCTTCCAGATCTGTCTGGTCTTTTGTGTATCTTTTTGTCATTCTCAAGTACAGGGGCCTGGTCCAAGAGGCACTGTGTCTTCTCTAGCTCCCCTATACTGACCCCACAATCAGTTCACTAAAATGAATTGTGTTGTGCAGACAGAAGTGCATCAGAGAGAATTCTGTAGTGTTTGATGTAATATGCTGTTTCTCTGCAATTCTACCTTTAACATTTTTTAAACTTACTGAACTCCATCTACCCTTCTTGCTCCTTTTATTTCAGTTTTCTAGTCCTATTTTCTGGGTTTTTTTTCTTTCATTTTCAGCCATCCACTGTGCCCTGTTACTTTTGACAGAATTCCCTTTTAGCAGTTTTCTCTTGCCTGCCATGTATTTAGTTCTTTTTCTTTTGCACACTTTTATTGCTTCCCTACCTTTGTCCTCAGCTTCTCCAGCTGGATAATCCCGAGGAATGAAGCAGTGAAACTGAATGAGATACAACAGTGCAGAGGTTACATTTAAACACTTCAACTTGAGAGCAAAAAGCCACCAATTTCTGAAGGTAACGACTTCTGGATTTCAAATTATAGGAGAAGAACCGGCTGTATTGTTCACAGCATGACCAAAAGAGAGAATATGATGCAGCTGTGCATAAAAAGGCAATTGAATTCTAGGGTGTGTCTAGAGAGGTATTTTGAAACTGAAATATGAAAGTGTTCAAGATTTTATCCACATCCTGGTTTTCATTTAGAGAATCATGTCCAATTTTGGTCACCCACGTGAAGCAAAAATGTGTGCAAGTCAGAATGAATGCCAGCAAATAATAATTGCTTGAGATAAAAGGTGATCCAGCAACACCTCCAGTGGTCCTGTGCTTTACACCAAATTTCCTTATACTCCACAGGCAAAAGTTCCCTTTTTTACATCAACCCTTCCTATGATCTCCCAAATCTTTGGGGCTCCTCGATGCCTACAGAGCAGTTAGGAAGGTCAGACTATATAAAAACATTTGCCAAATGCAGGAATATGCAATGACAGGCATAATTGGGCTTGCATATATTTAAAATCCCTGATTTACAGATGCCGTATATATTATTGTGTACACAAATATAAATGCAACCATTTTTAACTCTGTGTGTGTGTGTATGTGAGGGAGGGGACAGTTTAGCACACTCTTTCAAACCATCCTGTGTGTATTTTTCTCTCACAGTTATGCTGGTTTATCAAGTCCCTGTAATCAGGCATATGTCAGACTGTTTAGACCAAAACCATTTGAGCTTGGACAGGCTGGAAATGAAGAAAACAAATTTCCCTCTGGAGGATCTTCAGCTGAGTTCTCTGTGCTATCATAGCTCAAATTTCAGGCGAGAAGGTGGGAATCACACTTTATGGCAGTGAGGAACCCAGACTAACTGGCTTTCAGAGATAACTATGGTAAGACTGAAAAGGAAGAGTCCTCTTCGAAGAAAAACTTGTCCAGCACAGCCTCTAGAATTCAGGATAAATGACTCTGCTTGTTCTCCTCTCTCCTGCTGCCTGTTTGGAGCCATCCCTGCTCAGACGCTATGTTCTTTGTTCAGGATGGAGAGAACAACAAGCTGAGGTTTGAATTACAGGAGAAAAGGTTCAGAGGAGACAAAAGGGAAACCTTTGCCACATGCAGAGTAGGGAAGCACTGCAATCCTTGCCTGGATAGAGTTATTCAGTCTCCAAAGTCAGGGAGATTTAGGAATTAATTAGATGTCTGTCAGTCAGTCTGCTCTGACACTTCTCATATTCAAAACTAACACAGATTCAAAAAGAGTCCCCAAAACAGACAAATCTGCCCTCCCAGGAACCATCCAGTTGTGATGGTGCATATAAAGCCCCATCAAGGGTTGGATCCTTGTCTCACTTTCCATACAGATGTCAGATGCCACAATTGAGGATGGAGTGAATCTTAAAACCAGAAATAGATTAGTAAGAGAAATACTTAGAACTAACTTCTAAAGAAGTAACTCTGATGCAAACTGGTTTCTACCCAGGTGGAAAAGGCCCAGGGAATCAAGAATTCTAAAGCCTGTTTGCAGGAATGGGGATGAACAATGTAGCTCTTGTAAATGGTTTCAGGGATGTGGCCTGTACCAGAGCTATTGTGCTCATTATTGTGTTTGCAATGGATTTAGAAGAGACTACTGAACCCATAATTTAGAGAAACATCGAGAAAGTAGCCTGAAATCCCCAAAACAGGACTGGATAAATAAAGTGCAGCTAAATACCTAGGACGGGGAAAAGCTGTAATGCAGCTGCAGCTTGCAAAAGCAAACAAAACCATTGGGATCACATGGTCTGATTTCTTCCAGGACAGGCTAGATGTTATGAATAAAAAGTTATCTATTTTTGTTTAAGGTTACAGAGCTAAAACCGGTTGGACCGGTTGCTGTTAAATTAGCTTAATTGTTAAGAGTTCTTCTCTAATTGCCCATCAATGGTTGGTGATTTAGCCATTGTCCTCCCTGAGCTACACCTGGACACGCAGCCCAGGAGAATAGGAGTGGCCTGAGACCACGTATGCAGATGAGGAATGCACTGCTCCAAAATTTTCCCGTTTTCTAGGAAAACCCCTAAAAACAACGAACCAATATAGAATTAGGGGACCCTAGGTGATGTCTAAGGATGGGCGCGAAGTCCAGTACCTGCTTGGATCCTTTTTGCTTCACACCCTGACGTAAAAGGATGTTCACTAAGGAGGGGACCCGAAGTGTTGGGGACCCGAAAAGCAGGAATCTGCGAATCTCCCGTGAGGACGCAGTCCCCAGCTCTGCCTGCAGACCAGCGGACAGAGCTGCATCACCCTCCTCCTCTGTGCCACTCTTGGGGACAGCGGCGGCGTGGGCGCGACCCGTCGATTTCTCCCCACCTGAGCTGAATCTCTTTAATAAAGGCATTGAAAAGGAGAAAGATCTCCTGCCCTATTTATTTCACTAGAGACCCTGCCTAGATTTCAGTAATTCAGGCTTAACTGAACCAAGTGATAACATCTCTAGTAATTTATTGATCTAAATTTGTCTTATTTCAATTTCTAGAAACTGAATCCTTCTAAACCTTCTTCTTCATTGTGAAAAATGCATTTACTTTCTTTTTCCCTCCTGAGAGGTGCCTGGATGAGCAAGTAACTTCTTAATAATCTCCCAGCTCAGGTGAACAGGTTGAGCCTGTAGAACTGCTAAATATAAATTACTTCTCTTCCAGTTTGTTGGTTATCCACATGGCTCTACTGTGCAGCTTGTTCATTTTTCATTACAAGCAGAGGTAGTGACCTTGACTGTGCCAAATAATCTCCTTCCTCCACTCAAGTCATCTTTAATCAAGTCCTCCACCTTCTACTCCAAAATTTAGCTAGGATTTGAGTCAAGCCAATGGCCGTGTAACGGCTTAATTATCAACAGGGCTTGGATCCATGCGGCTTAATTATCCACAGGGCCATTAAGTCAGTGATAATTACCTGGGTATTCCCTGCCTTACTGAAAGCATCTCACCCAGCTTCACAAGTTTAACAATTAGCACCTAATCTGAGATGGCTATTTAGCTTTCCTTCAAGGTGCGGCCTGGAATTTAAGCTGTCTCTGAGGAGTTTCATTTTGTTTCCTGTTTTTAAGTAATTCTAGTACTTTGTTTTAATACCATCAACCTTTTATAATATTTTGTCTCTTTGAAATGACATGTGTTCCTGGTCCCAGGGTTGTTTGGAGTTGAGGGACAGGACTCTGATTGCTTGAAAATGTACTCATGCCTTCACACTATGATTTAGGGGATTTAAAAAAAAAAAAACATTCTTGAAGTGGTCTCTCTTGTTCCTCATTTTCTGCATGTTTAAGTCTTTCTAGCTCATCTGGGGGAAATCTAAAATATGATGATTTCTAGCTCTGTGGAACTGTCTGTAGAAGGGTGAGCATGTAAGAAGGGAAACCAGGGAAGTGCCTTGGAATATTATGAAAGAGGAAGCTGTCAAGCTATTGCTGCTTCATTTTCATTTTCCAGAGAAATTATTATTTTAAATACTTATCCCTTTGTTATCTTGTAAGAGCTTGCTTTGTCTTGTAAGACATTACTTTTTTGACAAGTCCTTCTCCTCTCTTCCAGTTCATGACTAGATACAGGCTTTGCTGACATGGATATGTGAGACTTCCTGTTGGTATTCCTTTTGAAGCCTCTGTTGTTTTGGGGTTTGTTCTATTTGTACATTCAGAAACAAATCAGCTTTTATGTTACAATCCAGACATCTAAAATGTGAAGTTGTTTTTTCTTAATAGAATATTTGGTCTGTGACTGGTGGAGGTTGATAGTGGATTCGCCTCTGAAATCCTTTGGGCAACAACAATCCTTCTGGCCATGGGTTAATGTGATAACTAACTACAATGGTCAGTTTCTATCTGGTGGTAAAAACAGAATGAATTTGCTGTCTGGCTGCTCCCGCTGATCCGTTTTAAGCAACTTGCTTGACAGTCAGAGGACAGAGCCAGGAGAGGTGCTGAGGTCCATGTGGTTACCTATTTGCTGAGGATGGAAGCAGAGTGAGGAGCAGGAGCTGTGCGCTTGGCAGAGGCTCCTGCTGTGCACTACATACCCAGGAGATGGGGTGCAGCTGTGCTGCTCGTGGTGATCAATCCAGGATGTTCTATTGCTGGGGCCCTGGGTGTTTCTTCCCTGCTCCAGGTCATGGGGCTGGCTCTGATACAGCACAGCTGTACCCTGGGATCAGGATGCTGGGGCAGAGCCCCCGAGGGGCTCCCTGCTTCCCCTTGGATCCATGGAGAAGGGAGGAATTCCTGCTTAGCTTATGGCAGACACACCTGCTGAAGGGAAACTTGAAGGGGCAATGACTGAAGGATTAAATTTAAAAGAGAATGCTAAAAGTCTTTCATTTGTGTTGTATGTGTAATGGGGTTTCTAAATATCCTACTTTTATCCCTGCCTATGTCCTTGACAACCTCAATGAGAGAGTCTGACTCAAATTAATCTTGGTTTGCGAACACAATTTCTTCTTGAGGGCACCACTTGCATATTGATGACACATGTTTGCCTGTCCCAGCTGAGAGTGCTGAGTGGCAGGGAGGGGAGACCTTTCTGGCTGCTTATGGGAAGAAAGAGAGGTTTCTGGACACTCCTTCCACATCCTGGCAAGGTTGTGTTAGAATAACTGTGGCACAGACATTTAAGAACACTCAGAGCCATTGCATTCACATGGAGAAGCTGCAAACTTTATCTGCTGTGCTCGTGTGCCTCCACTAGAAATGAGGGAAAAGAAAACAAGAATAAGGTTATTTGCATTGCTCTTGTCTGTGTGTGGAAAATCCTGGTGTGAGATACAAAGTTGTGTTTCGTGTCAGGTACATGCAGTAGTGTGTGTACTTGTGATTATGAGGCACTTGGATGTTGTGTGCCATATGGAAGGAAATCATTGGAGCAATCCTGGCTATCTGTGCAAGGTCAGTGAGAGATCTGGACTGTCTACAAAGCTCTGTGAGGCACAGCTTTTCCACGGAAGGAGGAAAATCCATGTGTAGCCAA